CTCTGGTAACAGATAGGTATTTATGAATCAGTCTGAACACATATTTCGATTAAAGTTAGCTAAAAGAAGCTTCCTACTTATTCTTGGTTTTCTGAATCAAGTAGTTGGTTGCTTTCGTATCCAGGAAGTACATGTATCAGTGTCAGACTAGAACGATCTCAAAATATGACAAAAATTCTCTTTTTAATTTTTTTTCTTGATAAATATTTTTTTTCAGAAGGGGTTTTGTGGAGATTTCAGCATCTTTCAAAGTTGAAATCATGAGTCAATTGAAACTAGACCACTATGGAAAACCTGGAAGCACTGGACAGCTGTTTCGTCCTATTATGGGACTCCTCAGCAGTACGCATCCACGATTGCCTACGGTTGCCTACTCCTTATTCTGTATTTTTTTGGAAATCATTAATATACTCTTTGATTAAATCGATAATGAGAGAAATAATTGTAATTAATTACATTATGTCAAATTCAATTACGCACATGATGAGTAGGTGTATTGTGCAAAATCGTAGCTTTTTAATCACTATGGTAAGTTCACTGATTCACATAATGTTTTTTTTGTTTCCAAGTCAACAAAACACAACGACAACAACAACATGATCAGTTTCTACTTAACTATGCATAAATTATAAACATGAACCAGATTATTCAGATCACAGTGTTATACTCATCGGAAATACTTGCTTTGGATACATGCATATGCATATTCATTATGTGTGTTTATGCACGGAAGAATTATATTCTTGTAATTTGTTCTGATTCATTTTCAATAATCAATTTGTATGACAGTTATGGTAATTCTCATTCCACCCACGGTATTATGAGTTGTAGTAAACAGTGTACTGTACTACTTCTAATATTCAATAGTGTTTCTTTAAAATTGTGTGTTTACAGATTCAAATAATTTAAGTGAAAATATAGTTTTTCATAAATAATTTTCACCTCCAAACCTGGAAAAAAGTACTAGTCTTAAAAAATACTTACATGTAAATGTATTTCAATCATAAATGTTTATTTTTCATAGTTGAAATCATGAGTCAATTGAAGCTAGACCACCATGGAAAACCTAGAAGCACTGGACGGTAGGTCCTGGGTTCGAATCTAGCGAGTGCGGGACTGTGGATGCGCACTGCCACTGAGGAGTCTCATAATAGGACGAAACGGCTGTCCAGTGCTTCTAGGTTTTCCATGGTGGTCTAGCTTCAATTGACTCATGATTTCAACTATGAAAAAAAAACAACTGAAATCTCCACTAAACCCCTTCTGATAATAAATGTTTACTTGAAATATACAATTTGTATTATTATTATTATTATTATTATTATTATTATTATTATTGTGAATAAAATCACTAAACGTTGTATCGATGTTAGTACATTAAAATTGACCAAACTCAAATAATATGACAAAATGATCAATAAATTTAAGCTCATAATATATAATAGTGTATATCATGGACTCAGCTTTCATCCTGTAACACAACAAAGAGAACATTAAACTACTCACACTTGTTGGGTAAGCTCAAAAAGAGGTGGAAACTTTCCTACATCTGGGAAGTATCATTGATAAACAAGGTGGATCAGATTTAGGTGGGAAGGCACGGATTGGCAAAGCAAAGACGACATCCCTATAACTGAACTTGTCGGACTCAAAACAACTGTCACCTTACATCAAAGTGAGAGTCTTCAGTAAGAACCTCAAGACAGTTTAACTGTACGGAGCTGAAACTTGGAGAACTACGACAACTATCGTCAAAGAAGTACAGGTATAAACAGTTGTCTGAGCAGGATAATTAATATTGTCGACCAAATATCATCAGTAACAGCCTACTGTGGAAGAGAACAAATCAGCTTCCAGATGAAGAGGAAATCGGGGGAAGATGCTGGACGTGGATAGGACTTACATTGCGGAAATCATCAAATGGCATCACGAGACAAGTTCTAACTTGAACTTCTGAGGGAGAAAGGAAGAGATGCAGTTCAAGTAAAATATTGTGTCGGGAATTAGAGGCAGATATCAAAAAATGAATAGCAGTTGGAAACAACTGGAAATGAGAACCCAGGACAGGGTTGATCGGAAAATCATGGCAGGCAACACATGCTCCCCCATGAGGGGTAACAAAAATAAACATCACTAACTGTTCTTAGTTAGGCAGCTATTGTAAATCAGGAACCACTAAACAGCTAATTTGTCATAGTGTAAGACTCCTCAGAGGTAAACATCCAATACTTCATCACAAAAGAACGAAACCAGGACCTTTGGTCTCACTGGTAGCATCTAGCCTATATACCACCAAGTCAGGATCTAATGATGTAAAAATCTAACTTCAATTTCTTCATGATTTTCAACAACCGTCTCCAATTGCCTTCAAAAGTAACTGTCACACAACCAACCTGATTGAACTCTGATAATCACGGCTTCTCACTAAAACTCAGGAAATTCGTCTTGAAGTTAGTCACTACTAAGCTCGTGACTATTATCAGTATAGCATTTAGTGTATATTGCAAAATCTTAATAGTTTACATTACAAACTGGGTTAACTGTTTCACACTCTGCCTAAACATCTTCAAAATGAACAGATTTTAAGTGCACTTAACTATCTGACTAAAATTCAAGATATTAAACATTTAGGCAGATAAACTGACAAAAGAAATACGTTTCATTGAAACACAATGAAAATAATGATTCGACTGTCATTGAATTGTATCTATCCATTTATCCTAAATCAGTTATTCTAGTCATTCTGACAAGTAATCAATAGGAATAAAGTACAATCCTAGTATCTTTTTCTCTACTGATGACTCAAGAAAATTAAATTAAAAATGTCGTGTTTGAATGTAAAATACTAAATTATGCGCACTGTTGAGGAGTCCCACTATAGGACAAAACGGCCGTCCATGGTGGTCTAGCTTCAATTGACTCATGATATCAACTATTAAAATTACCGAATTATTTGTTTCGAATGAAAAAAATTTCTGTAAAACCAAACGTTTTTACAGTTATTTTACAAATGAAGGCGAAATAGTTCGTTGGGGGGGGAAGAGAAAACACATTCGTCATTCACTACATTCTCTATTGAAGAAGGTATCCTGAATAATATTTCTAAAGGTTTGTATTCTATGGTTGTTAATGTTAAGTTTTAAAATAGGTTAATCTCTATTGATAGTTGTGTATCCTGAGTCTCGATGTGAATATCAACATATTAATGTAGGTGCATCCACCTAACGAGTCCTAAGTAGGCTGAAACCTGAGTCCTTATTCCACTGCTGGTCACTACCCAATTCTGACAAAATGAATAATATATGCAAGCTTATTTACTGGAAAACAGTGAAGGTCCGAAAGTTAGAAATTGTGTTTACATACGAATCAGTCCGTTGGTTAAAACGTGAAATAAAGGAAAATCTTAGGAAATTATACGAAGGCAAACAAAAAGATGGATGGCTCATGGAAGTAACGTACGTGTACAATAAAAAAGACCATTTGTTTGGTGTTTTCATTTTTAATTATTATCATCTATAGTATATAGTGAATGATCTCTTATGTTTCAAAGACTTCGTTAAAAGAGTTTTTATATAACCTCCTACTTGATATAGTCAATGATTAAAGAAAATAATATAATTCGTTCGTTGGGTATGGCAACTTGGACCGATGGATATATGTGCCTGGTTCTACGTTGTAGCTGACTGACTGACTACAAGTAAATGATGACTTAATATGTAAGTAAGACATTGTTCAGTCTTTACATGCTTATGGATTAATTAGCACTTTTTTAAAACTGGGAATCCTGTTTTCTAAATCTCGACACTATTCTTTTCATGGTTTCATTGTACTTAATTGCCAAGATGTCTTCAAATCAAATAGTTCCTTAAACTTAGCTAATCAATGGTAGATCTGATGAGCAAGACCTTGGTAGTTTTTCCAAATTTGATATGACCTTACTAACCTTCGATTTTATCAAATTGATTTATTTTGGGTTCAAAAAAAAATTTTGTTCTACAATTTTAGGTCATGTTGGTTTCCAATTTATTGGTGTTGATGCAACACTGTTGTTAAGTAAATCAGTCTTGGAGTGATAAATTTCATTTGATACATGAAAAATGTACTCCAGAAACAGATTTAACTTAAATTTTCAGTACTGTCGTTCAGTAAGAACAAAATGTATGCATGATTAAAAATGATGAAAAAACCTTGACTTAAGTTGTTTTACCCCATAGAGATAAAATACTTAAGAAAAAAATTTGTGAGTTCACGACTGAAATCTAGTTTCAACACAAATAGTTTTAATCATTGTAGTGATTCCAACTTATTTAACATACTCATCTGTTGATCAAATATTAAGCATTCTAGCCCATTCGAAAACGAACTCATCATCCTATAAGTTTCACCGAATACACAACAGCGGTTATTCAAGTATTTTCCCTCATCACCCTGTTATGTATTTGACCTAAGCTGTAGCCAATTGTTACGACTGACCGATTGTGAACGCTATATTCGCTTCCCTAAGTTAGTTCCGTACCCCCGAGCTAGAACTATACACCGACTTGAAGACCAGAGAAAAGGCACAAAGTGTGTGGGAAGCGCTTTACTACAGGATTCATTATGTACAGAGAATACAGGGATTTTATAGTAATTAACAGACCTTGACTTTACATAGTAACAGTGTGTTAAACACCCAATCAGGCTCTCGTTATTTTAGTAGCACAGCTTCTAATTAATCGCTGATTTGTTGGGGCTCTTTATGAGCCTCTGGAGACTCTGTTAGAGTTCTCCGACTCAACACATCTCAGATGTGAACTGATTTTATTTGGATTACATGTGGGTTCATTGACAAAGTTGACAAATGACAGTTGTTTTCTAATGTTAGTCTAACTGATATCAGTTCGACCATGAAAATTACCATAAAAAGTACTTTGTTTTATTTTTAGTGTCTGGATTGTAAACAACAGTTGAATTTACAACTCACTATCCATCCTATTCGTGATCCAATTGAATATACTTACCACATCCAGACGTTGATGTTTAAACCAGGACTGGTACCTAATACTTTACACTAAAAATGACTAGTTTACTGAGCTACTTGTAATGAAAAGCTATCAGAGTAATCCGCTAACGACACACATATAGCAATCGACTAATCACAATTACAGTTCTGATTTTCAACAATGGGAAATAACATACCAGTACAAATTATTTTAATGGTAAGACTGAAAACAAATAAACGAACAACTGTTCATTTATATTATTTGTCGATTTTTGCGTATTAATTCGATTCCCCCTACACCCTAGAAATCTGAACAAATATATCTCCCAATTTTTTCTGATGAATCATTTTCACTTAGTTACACACATATACACATATATATAGATCCAGTGGGAGGGAGAGAGAGAGAGAGAGACAGACAGATGGAGTTATACCATATGAAGAAACAATAATATCACTATCATTGTTTAATAATAATGATAGTAATAGTACTAATCATCATTAACGAATTCAATGTTGAAAGCAAATTCATTTTTATGACCTAGTGATTAAATATGTTTTCATATATTTGTGTGTGTGTGTGTTTGTTTGGATGTGTGCATATTTGTTTCCCTACTTGATCATTGATTTTTTTTTCTTCTGAATGTACACAAATTTATCCTGTATGTAAATATATTTATTCGAAAACGTGCTTGTTTATTATTTATTAATTTAAGCTACTAAACCGACGATTAGTTTACCATCTTTAGGGGGTATATATCATAACGTGAAAGAATGAATGCAGTTACATAATATGAGTGCATTTGTTATATTCTGATAATCCCTTCATCGTTGAAAGATACCTTTTCTTTGAGTGTCTATATAAGAAATTAGATTAGAAATAGCTTTGATGACCTGAGAACTTGAACATAGTGCCAAAAGGACAACTGCTAAAGGCCAGATAGTTTTTTTTCCTAGTAATTATTGTCATGTTACATTTGTACTTTAAAGAGACCGCTAAAGGCAACAGAAATCCATGAAACAAGATAAGATGTTCAATATTTAGGGTCGAACTTTTCTAACCATCTCCTTCTCTTGTGAGAAAACAGCAATGCTTTAAATACTACCATATAGTCAGTAGTATAACCTTCTCCTTGGGCTACGAGTTTTATGCTTTTGCTTTTACTGTTCTCTGGCCAACTTTATTTACATGGTAGGACCAAAAGAACGTAGCCAATATAGCTCGAATGAATTTTCACGATAACCAAATAATATAGATAACATAGGATAAATAGAAGCATAGTAACAAAGTGAATTGGGCGGGACTAAAGAACATGGACGAGCCAATCAGAAACTTTCGCTGGTTTTTAAGGTCACGGCGCTAAGTTCGGTACCTGACGCTTACGTACAGTCGGTTTACAACGGATTTTAGAGAAAACATGATAATTTAGCGTCTACAAGATAAGTTATCATAAGATTTTGGCGCGAAACTCAATTATACATTTGGATAGGGTTGTGGCATTATAGCTGGCGTCAGTTCGTGATGAAAACCCTAAGTATAATTCCTAACCTTAACCATGAACTGTAAATAATAATTTGAATTCTTCACACGAGTTTATAACCCTCATTTAGTCTTACTTATTACGTTGACACTCTCAGATTCACTCTAGCGTCGCTCAAATGTCGTCCATAATTTATAGTCTCATCATTAACCCTAAACCTTAACCCTAATCCTAAACCCTTAACCATACCAACATACCGACAACACTGAAACTATGTGGTCGAGGCTGAAAGAATTATCAGGACTTTATCATGGTTCCAGAGGTCGACTACCATGGAGCCACAGGGATGAGTTCCTGTGCCGGGTGCACTATGATTTTAGAACTTCTGAACCTATATCTGACCTTGATAAGTTTTTGATTCATGTAAAAGAACAGTATCCCCTTTAATTTTTGAGTTTTGTATAATATATTTTTATTGTATGCTAACTGTCTTCTGATTGGCTAATATTTCTCAAGGTCATGTAAGATTCGTTCAAAGGTCGTCCATGTTCTTCAGTCTCGCTGTGAATTGCATTGATTTACTAGACGAATAAAATATTCTTAAATGGAAATGAAATACGAATACTGTTTCATCATTCTGTCAATTATTACAACTTTTAATTTCAATCAATGAACTCGAAAAATAACGATAATTCAGAATCAGAAGAGGTTTTGTGGCGATTTCAGTATCTTTCATAGTTGAAATCATGAGTCAATTGAAGCTAGACCACCATGGAAAACCTAGAAGCACTGGACGGTAGGTCCTGGGTTCGAATCTAGCGAGTGCGGGACTGTGGATGCGCACTGCCACTGAGGAGTCTCATAATAGGACGAAACGGCTGTCCAGTGCTTCTAGGTTTTCCATGGTGGTCTAGCTTCAATTGACTCATGATTTCAACTATGAAAAAAAAACAACTGAAATCTCCACTAAACCCCTTCTGATAATAAATGTTTACTTGAAATATGCAATTTGTATTATTATTATTATTATTATTATTATTATTATTATTGTGAATAAAATCACTAAACGTTGTATCGATGTTAGTACATTAAAATTGACCAAACTGTTATTTTCGACAACTTCATTTACTTAAACTGTATAGTTGAATTTGTATACACCTACGTCATTGTGATCTATTCTGAACCATGTCATCTAGAGTCTCCAACCATTGGTTACGATAGTCACGCAGACCCCAATCAGGTAGTCTGCATCTGCCAACATGGCTCAGACTAGAAGTTAGTGACTTCAAGCACTGATGCCATGTTTTGGTTTGGCCGCCCCTAACTCTCTTCCAACCATCTCCAATACTAGTCAGCATTGCGCATCGTCGTAATCGGCGTTTGATCAATTGACTACTACTATAGGTTTTAATTTTTCTGAATTATTTACCGTTTGCCCGATTCACTACCATTTCTGTACTCTTTATGATTAAACTATGATTTTCTATTTTGTGATGTGATGCAGTGATATATTTCTGTATATAAGCCCAGGCTTTGTTGAATAATAATGATAATATTAATATTAATGATCGAAGCTTGACTGCTGTCTTTTGTCATTTAGAATCAAGACTGAAAATGAGCGAACCCATATGAGTTAAGCATTCTTCTCAGCTCAAGATTACATCTGTCTATCAGAATGTATCAATGGTCAAGACTTAAGACACTAGGCTATAAATAGAATAGCAAGGTAAAGAAACTATAAGAAATAAGATTCCGATTGGTAAATCTATAGAATGATATCGATTCATATTTCAGACATAATAGTATATTTATTCTTTAACTGATGTTAAAATATGCCATTGAATTCCTTCCCATTAATTGTTTGTTGAAAAGACCATTTACATGGAATGGTAAGAAATAACTGACATTCAAAAAAATCTGTCAAACAAGAAACTAATGAGTAACAATTCTCTTGATATAATCACTACGGGTGAAGGAATTCTTCATCCATACCTACTGTCTACTTTATTGTTCTCTTGACATTGCAGTTATTGTATTTAAATGTGTCCAGTGTCTTTTTGTTTTGTTTTTTAAATGTATGTCAAGTTAAATGGCACATTGTTAAAATAATTAAAACTACTGGGGTTTCGAGTGTCCATTTTGTAGTTTGACTAAATCTTACAATAGCATAATTGATATATGGAATGTAATGGAGTTCAGGATGCTTGTTTCATCCTATATTGAATCCGTATCCTAGGGCTAATGTTCACTCTGAGATTCGAGTCCAATACTTGTCACTTCAAATACTCAAGGTGTTATCCAATGAGCTATTGATTGCAGATAGCCATTAACTTGTTCAATGGATATAAAATTATTAGGATGCATATATGTCAAAAAAAGACTGATCAATTATTGGTGTCATTTCCTCTGAACTGTTACGCTTAAACCATCCAGTTCAAAGAAAATAACACCTTTGACATCCCAATCCTGAACAATAAACATTCTTCATCCCTGAGAAATTGCTATCCTGAATATCAACAAGCGGAAATTTCAAATCATTACAATATCCTATTATTGAATTGATTCTATGAGCTGACTAGATAACCATTAAAACCTATAGAATATTATACAGATATTTATTCCAGTGTGATCACACTATTAACTCTTGTTATGTCACATAACGAACTATGTACTAGATAACGAAAGCTCAGAATAAATGAGTGGTAACCATTAGGAATTATTTATGGACTAATATTAAACGAATATTCTTATTGTATAACTAGTAAGTAACTATATTATATGTATATCCATAGTCCTCTTATCATAAGCTTTTATTTGAACTATTGACCCTTGTCATACGGTTTACTATTCTTGAGATATTCCCAATTTATTAGTAAAAGGCTCTTACAATCACAGACATCTTTAGGCTTGATCATGTATAATTGTTATTTTATATTTTCTAGTGTAATGTGGTCTGGTATGTATATATATAAACCCATTATGTCTGAAATATATTATTCATATAACGGAGGCTGATATCATTTTTCCTGGTCAGCGTTTTTTTAGCGAGTTAGTTTTCTGAAGGATGGAGTCACTAACCCCATGCCCAACCCTCCTCCTTTATCCGAGCTTGGGATTGGCAGTAGCGCCCGGAGGGGCTACAGGAGGGGTCAAGACAATTCTACTGTATGGAGCGGAAACTTGAAGAACTATGAAATTCATCATTCAGAAGATACAACTGTTTATTAACAGTTGTCTACGCAAGAAACTTCGGATCCGTTAACAGACACTATCAACAACATTCTATTGTGGGAGAGAACAAACCAGATTCCAGCGGAGGAAGAAATCAGGAAGAAATGCTAGAAGTGGATAGGACACACATTGAGGAAAGCGGGAAACTGCGTCACGAGGCAAGCCCTCACATGGAATTCTGAAGGCCAAATAAGAAGAAGAAGACAAAGGAACACATGACGTCGAGAAATGGAGACAGACATGAAAAGGATGAATAACCATTGGATGGAATTAGAAAGGAAAGTCCAGGACATAGTGAGTTGTAGAATGCTGGTCTGCGGCCTATACTCCATTGGGAGTAACAGGCGTAAGTAAGTAAGTAATTAAGGAGGCTGATATTGACATTCTGGACTCAACTGTCAAGGTTAAGCAGAAAAAGAACCAGTAAGAACTCTAGGCTACTCGTACAACTTTATTCGTCATTAGTCTGCTCGTATAAGTCGGTGTCTCTAATTGGTGATATTATCTTGTGATACATATCAACAGACCACAAGATACCAAAAAAATATTTTAATGACTTTAAACTAGACAAAAGAAATGTAAAGAATTTCTTCAAATACAGTTGGTTTCATTATCTAAATATGA